CAAAAAAAACCAACAATTATGTTTCATTTTACTAAATTTGTGTTTTAATTACTTGTAAAGTTCACAAAATGTCATTGACAATCACTCTGCAGAAATTCCTGTTACCCCAACATCAGGATGGTTTCTTCGCCAAAACTAGACAGACAAAACTGAAGTAGAAAAAAGTGCCAAATATGAAAAAATAAGACTGGGTATGACCAAACTTTGCATTTGGAAGATTAAAGTAAAAATTTAGAATATTCAAAAGCAATTATTTAACATAGTAATCCAATTACAAACATTTCAACACTAGTTTCATAGATGAAGGGCATGTAATCATAAAAAGTTATCTACAATTTTTTTTAAATAAAGAAACGCAATGCGTTATGTAAAAATAAATGAATATCTTCATGCGGTCAGATTATTCAAGTGTTAAAATACTTGAAAAGTGCTTATTTACAACTTGTTCTACAACTTAACATGGTGAAACACAGCTAAAAAAAAATACACTGTCAAAGGGAGGTAATTCTGATTTTCCATATGATTTTACACATAATGAGGAGAAATATGTGCAAAATGGGGAGAATATTTATGCCTTTCATTGATATCATAACTCTCAAGTGTAATTTCTATTGTTTCTTTCAATCTGGACACAAAAACTGATTTTTACCATATACCCCATGCTTCCTCTCACAGTACACTCAGTGCATCTTGGATAGCCGAGTTAAACATAGAAATTTGTGTAAAAAACAACTTCAAATGGTTCCAAAATGCTTCCATTACATTAATATACACAGGAAATAAGTTTTGTGATTATTGTGTGGCCTTGGACAAATACAGTGACAGAATGCATATTTTCCTATAGGGGTAAATTCAGTAAAAAATCTCCCATTGACTGTAATGCTAATCTATGTCTTGAATTAAATTTATACCTGATTTACCTTTAGAAATTAGAAAATTTCATATATCATTCATGAAAGTACAAATGTAGCCCTATCATTTGCAACAATAAAAAACATAGGGTCATGCGGCATTTTTGGGCATTCACATGGCCCTTGTTTACAAACACTGTAGATTCGCACTTAATTCCTTCACTGACCCCCATTACTCTTCAACCCTGTAGTAAAAAAAATTAGTACATTCAGCATTTATTTTTTATTTTTTTTCAACTCTAGTTTTTATCCATCTATCAAAAATATTTATTACAAACATTATCTACCAATCAGAAGAGCACATGACTTCAGTTTAATACAGAAAGCTCTCCCCCAAATGGGCGGTCCCTGATGACGTATATTTATTTACTGAATTTACCCCTATAAGGGACTTTTTAGTAGCTTTTCCCTCTTTTTTTGTAATAATCATGTAATGTATCCAATTTTCAAGTTCCAGTTTCAATACAACATTCATAAATGTTGAACTTGTAAAGATAGAGGAAAATTTATACTACAGCCCATACTGCGGCCAATGTATATTTGGTATATAAAGTTGCATATTGACTGTTTGTAAAAGAATGGTGTAAAATACTATGCTTAATAAATATGAATTGTTTTCTGTGTTTGCTTTGACCAGTATTGCAAGTACATCTAGAAACTAAAGTCTTGCTGCACTCTTAGTTAAATTTTGCCTTATATGGAAGTTTTTGATTAAATACCCTGAAAAGACCACAAAAACACTTTTCAAAGGCTTTTGTAAGCAGTTTCATACAAAAAAAAACCAACAATTATGTTTCATTTTACTAAATTTGTGTTTTAATTACTTGTAAAGTTCACAAAATGTCATTGACAATCACTCTGCAGAAATTCCTGTTACCCCAACATCAGGATGGTTTCTTCGCCAAAACTAGACAGACAAAACTGAAGTAGAAAAAAGTGCCAAATATGAAAAAATAAGACTGGGTATGACCAAACTTTGCATTTGGAAGATTAAAGTAAAAATTTAGAATATTCAAAAGCAATTATTTAACATAGTAATCCAATTACAAACATTTCAACACTAGTTTCATAGATGAAGGGCATGTAATCATAAAAAGTTATCTACAATTTTTTTTAAATAAAGAAACGCAATGCGTTATGTAAAAATAAATGAATATCTTCATGCGGTCAGATTATTCAAGTGTTAAAATACTTGAAAAGTGCTTATTTACAACTTGTTCTACAACTTAACATGGTGAAACACAGCTAAAAAAAATTACACTGTCAAAGGGAGGTAATTCTGATTTTCCATATGATTTTACACATAATGAGGAGAAATATGTGCAAAATGGGGAGAATATTTATGCCTTTCATTGATATCATAACTCTCAAGTGTAATTTCTATTGTTTCTTTCAATCTGGACACAAAAACTGATTTTTACCATATACCCCATGCTTCCTCTCACAGTACACTCAGTGCATCTTGGATAGCCGAGTTAAACATAGAAATTTGTGTAAAAAACAACTTCAAATGGTTCCAAAATGCTTCCATTACATTAATATACACAGGAAATAAGTTTTGTGATTATTGTGTGGCCTTGGACAAATACAGTGACAGAATGCATATTTTCCTATAGGGGTAAATTCAGTAAAAAATCTCCCATTGACTGTAATGCTAATCTATGTCTTGAATTAAATTTATACCTGATTTACCTTTAGAAATTAGAAAATTTCATATATCATTCATGAAAGTACAAATGTAGCCCTATCATTTGCAACAATAAAAACATAGGGTCATGCGGCATTTTTGGGCATTCACATGGCCTTGTTTACAAACACTGTAGATTCGCACTTAATTCCTTCACTGACCCCCATTACTCTTCAACCCTGTAGTAAAAAAAATTAGTACATTCAGCATTTATTTTTTATTTTTTTTCAACTCTAGTTTTTATCCATCTATCAAAAAATATTTATTACAAACATTATCTACCAATCAGAAGAGCACATGACTTCAGTTTAATACAGAAAGCTCTCCCCCAAATGGGCGGTCCCTGATGACGTATATTTATTTACTGAATTTACCCCTATAAGGGACTTTTTAGTAGCTTTTCCCTCTTTTTTTGTAATAATCATGTAATGTATCCAATTTCAAGTTCCAGTTTCAATACAACATTCATAAATGTTGAACTTGTAAAGATAGAGGAAAATTTATACTACAGCCCATACTGCGGCCAATGTATATTTGGTATATAAAGTTGCATATTGACTGTTTGTAAAAGAATGGTGTAAAATACTATGCTTAATAAATATGAATTGTTTTCTGTGTTTGCTTTGACCAGTATTGCAAGTACATCTAGAAACTAAAGTCTTGCTGCACTCTTAGTTAAATTTTGCCTTATATGGAAGTTTTTGATTAAATACCCTGAAAAGACCACAAAAACACTTTTCAAAGGCTTTTGTAAGCAGTTTCATACAAAAAAAAACCAACAATTATGTTTCATTTTACTAAATTTGTGTTTTAATTACTTGTAAAGTTCACAAAATGTCATTGACAATCACTCTGCAGAAATTCCTGTTACCCCAACATCAGGATGGTTTCTTCGCCAAAACTAGACAGACAAAACTGAAGTAGAAAAAAGTGCCAAATATGAAAAAATAAGACTGGGTATGACCAAACTTTGCATTTGGAAGATTAAAGTAAAAATTTAGAATATTCAAAAGCAATTATTTAACATAGTAATCCAATTACAAACATTTCAACACTAGTTTCATAGATGAAGGGCATGTAATCATAAAAAGTTATCTACAATTTTTTTTAAATAAAGAAACGCAATGCGTTATGTAAAAATAAATGAATATCTTCATGCGGTCAGATTATTCAAGTGTTAAAATACTTGAAAAGTGCTTATTTACAACTTGTTCTACAACTTAACATGGTGAAACACAGCTAAAAAAAAATACACTGTCAAAGGGAGGTAATTCTGATTTTCCATATGATTTTACACATAATGAGGAGAAATATGTGCAAAATGGGGAGAATATTTATGCCTTTCATTGATATCATAACTCTCAAGTGTAATTTCTATTGTTTCTTTCAATCTGGACACAAAAACTGATTTTTACCATATACCCCATGCTTCCTCTCACAGTACACTCAGTGCATCTTGGATAGCCGAGTTAAACATAGAAATTTGTGTAAAAAACAACTTCAAATGGTTCCAAAATGCTTCCATTACATTAATATACACAGGAAATAAGTTTTGTGATTATTGTGTGGCCTTGGACAAATACAGTGACAGAATGCATATTTTCCTATAGGGGTAAATTCAGTAAAAAATCTCCCATTGACTGTAATGCTAATCTATGTCTTGAATTAAATTTATACCTGATTTACCTTTAGAAATTAGAAAATTTCATATATCATTCATGAAAGTACAAATGTAGCCCTATCATTTGCAAACAATAAAAACATAGGGTCATGCGGCATTTTTGGGCATTCACATGGCCTTGTTTACAAACACTGTAGATTCGCACTTAATTCCTTCACTGACCCCCATTACTCTTCAACCCTGTAGTAAAAAAAATTAGTACATTCAGCATTTATTTTTTATTTTTTTTCAACTCTAGTTTTTATCCATCTATCAAAAAATATTTATTACAAACATTATCTACCAATCAGAAGAGCACATGACTTCAGTTTAATACAGAAAGCTCTCCCCCAAATGGGCGGTCCCTGATGACGTATATTTATTTACTGAATTTACCCCTATAAGGGACTTTTAGTAGCTTTTCCCTCTTTTTTTGTAATAATCATGTAATGTATCCAATTTTCAAGTTCCAGTTTCAATACAACATTCATAAATGTTGAACTTGTAAAGATAGAGGAAAATTTATACTACAGCCCATACTGCGGCCAATGTATATTTGGTATATAAAGTTGCATATTGACTGTTTGTAAAAGAATGGTGTAAAATACTATGCTTAATAAATATGAATTGTTTTCTGTGTTTGCTTTGACCAGTATTGCAAGTACATCTAGAAACTAAAGTCTTGCTGCACTCTTAGTTAAATTTTGCCTTATATGGAAGTTTTTGATTAAATACCCTGAAAAGACCACAAAAACACTTTTCAAAGGCTTTTGTAAGCAGTTTCATACAAAAAAAAACCAACAATTATGTTTCATTTTACTAAATTTGTGTTTTAATTACTTGTAAAGTTCACAAAATGTCATTGACAATCACTCTGCAGAAATTCCTGTTACCCCCAACATCAGGATGGTTTCTTCGCCAAAACTAGACAGACAAAACTGAAGTAGAAAAAAGTGCCAAATATGAAAAAATAAGACTGGGTATGACCAAACTTTGCATTTGGAAGATTAAAGTAAAAATTTAGAATATTCAAAAGCAATTATTTAACATAGTAATCCAATTACAAACATTTCAACACTAGTTTCATAGATGAAGGGCATGTAATCATAAAAAGTTATCTACAATTTTTTTTAAATAAAGAAACGCAATGCGTTATGTAAAAATAAATGAATATCTTCATGCGGTCAGATTATTCAAGTGTTAAAATACTTGAAAAGTGCTTATTTACAACTTGTTCTACAACTTAACATGGTGAAACACAGCTAAAAAAAAATACACTGTCAAAGGGAGGTAATTCCTGATTTTCCATATGATTTTACACATAATGAGGAGAAATATGTGCAAAATGGGGAGAATATTTATGCCTTTCATTGATATCATAACTCTCAAGTGTAATTTCTATTGTTTCTTTCAATCTGGACACAAAAACTGATTTTTACCATATACCCCATGCTTCCTCTCACAGTACACTCAGTGCATCTTGGATAGCCGAGTTAAACATAGAAATTTGTGTAAAAAACAACTTCAAATGGTTCCAAAATGCTTCCATTACATTAATATACACAGGAAATAAGTTTTGTGATTATTGTGTGGCCTTGGACAAATACAGTGACAGAATGCATATTTTCCTATAGGGGTAAATTCAGTAAAAAATCTCCCATTGACTGTAATGCTAATCTATGTCTTGAATTAAATTTATACCTGATTTACCTTTAGAAATTAGAAAATTTCATATATCATTCATGAAAGTACAAATGTAGCCCTATCATTTGCAACAATAAAAACATAGGGTCATGCGGCATTTTTGGGCATTCACATGGCCTTGTTTACAAACACTGTAGATTCGCACTTAATTCCTTCACTGACCCCCATTACTCTTCAACCCTGTAGTAAAAAAAATTAGTACATTCAGCATTTATTTTTTATTTTTTTTCAACTCTAGTTTTTATCCATCTATCAAAAAATATTTATTACAAACATTATCTACCAATCAGAAGAGCACATGACTTCAGTTTAATACAGAAAGCTCTCCCCCAAATGGGCGGTCCCTGATGACGTATATTTATTTACTGAATTTACCCCTATAAGGGACTTTTTAGTAGCTTTTCCCTCTTTTTTTGTAATAATCATGTAATGTATCCAATTTTCAAGTTCCAGTTTCAATACAACATTCATAAATGTTGAACTTGTAAAGATAGAGGAAAATTTATACTACAGCCCATACTGCGGCCAATGTATATTTGGTATATAAAGTTGCATATTGACTGTTTGTAAAAGAATGGTGTAAAATACTATGCTTAATAAATATGAATTGTTTTCTGTGTTTGCTTTGACCAGTATTGCAAGTACATCTAGAAACTAAAGTCTTGCTGCACTCTTAGTTAAATTTTGCCTTATATGGAAGTTTTTGATTAAATACCCTGAAAAGACCACAAAAACACTTTTCAAAGGCTTTTGTAAGCAGTTTCATACAAAAAAAAACCAACAATTATGTTTCATTTTACTAAATTTGTGTTTTAATTACTTGTAAAGTTCACAAAATGTCATTGACAATCACTCTGCAGAAATTCCTGTTACCCCCAACATCAGGATGGTTTCTTCGCCAAAACTAGACAGACAAAACTGAAGTAGAAAAAAGTGCCAAATATGAAAAAATAAGACTGGGTATGACCAAACTTTGCATTTGGAAGATTAAAGTAAAATTTAGAATATTCAAAAGCAATTATTTAACATAGTAATCCAATTACAAACATTTCAACACTAGTTTCATAGATGAAGGGCATGTAATCATAAAAAGTTATCTACAATTTTTTTTAAATAAAGAAACGCAATGCGTTATGTAAAAATAAATGAATATCTTCATGCGGTCAGATTATTCAAGTGTTAAAATACTTGAAAAGTGCTTATTTACAACTTGTTCTACAACTTAACATGGTGAAACACAGCTAAAAAAAAATACACTGTCAAAGGGAGGTAATTCTGATTTTCCATATGATTTTACACATAATGAGGAGAAATATGTGCAAAATGGGGAGAATATTTATGCCTTTCATTGATATCATAACTCTCAAGTGTAATTTCTATTGTTTCTTTCAATCTGGACACAAAAACTGATTTTTACCATATACCCCATGCTTCCTCTCACAGTACACTCAGTGCATCTTGGATAGCCGAGTTAAACATAGAAATTTGTGTAAAAAACAACTTCAAATGGTTCCAAAATGCTTCCATTACATTAATATACACAGGAAATAAGTTTTGTGATTATTGTGTGGCCTTGGACAAATACAGTGACAGAATGCATATTTTCCTATAGGGGTAAATTCAGTAAAAAATCTCCCATTGACTGTAATGCTAATCTATGTCTTGAATTAAATTTATACCTGATTTACCTTTAGAAATTAGAAAATTTCATATATCATTCATGAAAGTACAAATGTAGCCCTATCATTTGCAACAATAAAAACATAGGGTCATGCGGCATTTTTGGGCATTCACATGGCCTTGTTTACAAACACTGTAGATTCGCACTTAATTCCTTCACTGACCCCCATTACTCTTCAACCCTGTAGTAAAAAAAATTAGTACATTCAGCATTTATTTTTTATTTTTTTTCAACTCTAGTTTTTATCCATCTATCAAAAAATATTTATTACAAACATTATCTACCAATCAGAAGAGCACATGACTTCAGTTTAATACAGAAAGCTCTCCCCCAAATGGGCGGCTCCCTGATGACGTATATTTATTTACTGAATTTACCCCTATAAGGGACTTTTTAGTAGCTTTTCCCTCTTTTTTTGTAATAATCATGTAATGTATCCAATTTTCAAGTTCCAGTTTCAATACAACATTCATAAATGTTGAACTTGTAAAGATAGAGGAAAATTTATACTACAGCCCATACTGCGGCCAATGTATATTTGGTATATAAAGTTGCATATTGACTGTTTGTAAAAGAATGGTGTAAAATACTATGCTTAATAAATATGAATTGTTTTCTGTGTTTGCTTTGACCAGTATTGCAAGTACATCTAGAAACTAAAGTCTTGCTGCACTCTTAGTTAAATTTTGCCTTATATGGAAGTTTTTGATTAAATACCCTGAAAAGACCACAAAAACACTTTTCAAAGGCTTTTGTAAGCAGTTTCATACAAAAAAAACCAACAATTATGTTTCATTTTACTAAATTTGTGTTTTAATTACTTGTAAAGTTCACAAAATGTCATTGACAATCACTCTGCAGAAATTCCTGTTACCCCAACATCAGGATGGTTTCTTCGCCAAAACTAGACAGACAAAACTGAAGTAGAAAAAAGTGCCAAATATGAAAAAATAAGACTGGGTATGACCAAACTTTGCATTTGGAAGATTAAAGTAAAAATTTAGAATATTCAAAAGCAATTATTTAACATAGTAATCCAATTACAAACATTTCAACACTAGTTTCATAGATGAAGGGCATGTAATCATAAAAAGTTATCTACAATTTTTTTTAAATAAAGAAAACGCAATGCGTTATGTAAAAATAAATGAATATCTTCATGCGGTCAGATTATTCAAGTGTTAAAATACTTGAAAAGTGCTTATTTACAACTTGTTCTACAACTTAACATGGTGAAACACAGCTAAAAAAAAATACACTGTCAAAGGGAGGTAATTCTGATTTTCCATATGATTTTACACATAATGAGGAGAAATATGTGCAAAATGGGGAGAATATTTATGCCTTTCATTGATATCATAACTCTCAAGTGTAATTTCTATTGTTTCTTTCAATCTGGACACAAAAACTGATTTTTACCATATACCCCATGCTTCCTCTCACAGTACACTCAGTGCATCTTGGATAGCCGAGTTAAACATAGAAATTTGTGTAAAAAACAACTTCAAATGGTTCCAAAATGCTTCCATTACATTAATATACACAGGAAATAAGTTTTGTGATTATTGTGTGGCCTTGGACAAATACAGTGACAGAATGCATATTTTCCTATAGGGGTAAATTCAGTAAAAAATCTCCCATTGACTGTAATGCTAATCTATGTCTTGAATTAAATTTATACCTGATTTACCTTTAGAAATTAGAAAATTTCATATATCATTCATGAAAGTACAAATGTAGCCCTATCATTTGCAACAATAAAAACATAGGGTCATGCGGCATTTTTGGGCATTCACATGGCCTTGTTTACAAACACTGTAGATTCGCACTTAATTCCTTCACTGACCCCCATTACTCTTCAACCCTGTAGTAAAAAAAATTAGTACATTCAGCATTTATTTTTTATTTTTTTTCAACTCTAGTTTTTATCCATCTATCAAAAAATATTTATTACAAACATTATCTACCAATCAGAAGAGCACATGACTTCAGTTTAATACAGAAAGCTCTCCCCCAAATGGGCGGTCCCTGATGACGTATATTTATTTACTGAATTTACCCCTATAAGGGACTTTTTAGTAGCTTTTCCCTCTTTTTTTGTAATAATCATGTAATGTATCCAATTTTCAAGTTCCAGTTTCAATACAACATTCATAAATGTTGAACTTGTAAAGATAGAGGAAAATTTATACTACAGCCCATACTGCGGCCAATGTATATTTGGTATATAAAGTTGCATATTGACTGTTTGTAAAAGAATGGTGTAAAATACTATGCTTAATAAATATGAATTGTTTTCTGTGTTTGCTTTGACCAGTATTGCAAGTACATCTAGAAACTAAAGTCTTGCTGCACTCTTAGTTAAATTTTGCCTTATATGGAAGTTTTTGATTAAATACCCTGAAAAGACCACAAAAACACTTTTCAAAGGCTTTTGTAAGCAGTTTCATACAAAAAAAACCAACAATTATGTTTCATTTTACTAAATTTGTGTTTTAATTACTTGTAAAGTTCACAAAATGTCATTGACAATCACTCTGCAGAAATTCCTGTTACCCCAACATCAGGATGGTTTCTTCGCCAAAACTAGACAGACAAAACTGAAGTAGAAAAAAGTGCCAAATATGAAAAAATAAGACTGGGTATGACCAAACTTTGCATTTGGAAGATTAAAGTAAAAATTTAGAATATTCAAAAGCAATTATTTAACATAGTAATCCAATTACAAACATTTCAACACTAGTTTCATAGATGAAGGGCATGTAATCATAAAAAGTTATCTACAATTTTTTTAAATAAAGAAACGCAATGCGTTATGTAAAAATAAATGAATATCTTCATGCGGTCAGATTATTCAAGTGTTAAAATACTTGAAAAGTGCTTATTTACAACTTGTTCTACAACTTAACATGGTGAAACACAGCTAAAAAAAAATACACTGTCAAAGGGAGGTAATTCTGATTTTCCATATGATTTTACACATAATGAGGAGAAATATGTGCAAAATGGGGAGAATATTTATGCCTTTCATTGATATCATAACTCTCAAGTGTAATTTCTATTGTTTCTTTCAATCTGGACACAAAAACTGATTTTTACCATATACCCCATGCTTCCTCTCACAGTACACTCAGTGCATCTTGGATAGCCGAGTTAAACATAGAAATTTGTGTAAAAAACAACTTCAAATGGTTCCAAAATGCTTCCATTACATTAATATACACAGGAAATAAGTTTTGTGATTATTGTGTGGCCTTGGACAAATACAGTGACAGAATGCATATTTTCCTATAGGGGTAAATTCAGTAAAAAATCTCCCATTGACTGTAATGCTAATCTATGTCTTGAATTAAATTTATACCTGATTTACCTTTAGAAATTAGAAAATTTCATATATCATTCATGAAAGTACAAATGTAGCCCTATCATTTGCAACAATAAAAACATAGGGTCATGCGGCATTTTTGGGCATTCACATGGCCTTGTTTACAAACACTGTAGATTCGCACTTAATTCCTTCACTGACCCCCATTACTCTTCAACCCTGTAGTAAAAAAAATTAGTACATTCAGCATTTATTTTTTATTTTTTTTCAACTCTAGTTTTTATCCATCTATCAAAAAATATTTATTACAAACATTATCTACCAATCAGAAGAGCACATGACTTCAGTTTAATACAGAAAGCTCTCCCCCAAATGGGCGGTCCCTGATGACGTATATTTATTTACTGAATTTACCCCTATAAGGGACTTTTTAGTAGCTTTTCCCTCTTTTTTTGTAATAATCATGTAATGTATCCAATTTTCAAGTTCCAGTTTCAATACAACATTCATAAATGTTGAACTTGTAAAGATAGAGGAAAATTTATACTACAGCCCATACTGCGGCCAATGTATATTTGGTATATAAAGTTGCATATTGACTGTTTGTAAAAGAATGGTGTAAAATACTATGCTTAATAAATATGAATTGTTTTCTGTGTTTGCTTTGACCAGTATTGCAAGTACATCTAGAAACTAAAGTCTTGCTGCACTCTTAGTTAAATTTTGCCTTATATGGAAGTTTTTGATTAAATACCCTGAAAAGACCACAAAAACACTTTTCAAAGGCTTTTGTAAGCAGTTTCATACAAAAAAAACCAACAATTATGTTTCATTTTACTAAATTTGTGTTTTAATTACTTGTAAAGTTCACAAAATGTCATTGACAATCACTCTGCAGAAATTCCTGTTACCCCAACATCAGGATGGTTTCTTCGCCAAAACTAGACAGACAAAACTGAAGTAGAAAAAAGTGCCAAATATGAAAAAATAAGACTGGGTATGACCAAACTTTGCATTTGGAAGATTAAAGTAAAAATTTAGAATATTCAAAAGCAATTATTTAACATAGTAATCCAATTACAAACATTTCAACACTAGTTTCATAGATGAAGGGCATGTAATCATAAAAAGTTATCTACAATTTTTTTTAAATAAAGAAACGCAATGCGTTATGTAAAAATAAATGAATATCTTCATGCGGTCAGATTATTCAAGTGTTAAAATACTTGAAAAGTGCTTATTTACAACTTGTTCTACAACTTAACATGGTGAAACACAGCTAAAAAAAAATACACTGTCAAAGGGAGGTAATTCTGATTTTCCATATGATTTTACACATAATGAGGAGAAATATGTGCAAAATGGGGAGAATATTTATGCCTTTCATTGATATCATAACTCTCAAGTGTAATTTCTATTGTTTCTTTCAATCTGGACACAAAAACTGATTTTTACCATATACCCCATGCTTCCTCTCACAGTACACTCAGTGCATCTTGGATAGCCGAGTTAAACATAGAAATTTGTGTAAAAAACAACTTCAAATGGTTCCAAAATGCTTCCATTACATTAATATACACAGGAAATAAGTTTTGTGATTATTGTGTGGCCTTGGACAAATACAGTGACAGAATGCATATTTTCCTATAGGGGTAAATTCAGTAAAAAATCTCCCATTGACTGTAATGCTAATCTATGTCTTGAATTAAATTTATACCTGATTTACCTTTAGAAATTAGAAAATTTCATATATCATTCATGAAAGTACAAATGTAGCCCTATCATTTGCAACAATAAAAACATAGGGTCATGCGGCATTTTTGGGCATTCACATGGCCTTGTTTACAAACACTGTAGATTCGCACTTAATTCCTTCACTGACCCCCATTACTCTTCAACCCTGTAGTAAAAAAAATTAGTACATTCAGCATTTATTTTTTATTTTTTTTCAACTCTAGTTTTTATCCATCTATCAAAAAATATTTATTACAAACATTATCTACCAATCAGAAGAGCACATGACTTCAGTTTAATACAGAAAGCTCTCCCCCAAATGGGCGGTCCCTGATGACGTATATTTATTTACTGAATTTACCCCTGTAAATATCGGCTTAATTTATTTATGACCAACAGGTATTTTGGTGATCGTAAATAATGTTTAAGAATTTCAACGTTCCGCAATATAATTTTTGCAAAACGAATTATTAACATAAAAAGTTCTTACATAATGATGATGCTTATGTAATAATTTGTAATGGATAGCAAGATTTATTACGAAGTACAAATGAACTAAATCTAACGATTAGTGAAAATATGTTGAAGTGAAGTTAAAGAGATCTGTTTATTTTCTTTTCTTACATATTCTACGACTGGATTTTAGATAAGTATAGCTGTTTATATAATTAATAAAACTCTTGTAAAGTAAGCAAGTTTCTTCGACATTAAACTGCAATAAACTTTATTAACAGGGGGATTGAAATAAGTTTCAAAAGACAAAGAAGACGCAATCGGGGTAAACATCAATTGTTTTATACAAATTCAAACTTATAAAGACTTTGTAGATATCCTTCTTTCCTAAGGGAGCTGCCATTTGATTTTTTTATTGGTGGGGGGGGGGGGGGGCTAAGATGAAAAATTTTGTCCTGCATTTTTTTTTTTAGTTGTAATCTCTGTCCTGCCTTTTTATTTTTCACTCTATTCGGTCCTGTCTTTCTTTTTTTTTTTTAGTTTATCCTGACTTTTTTTACATAAATTCTCATCCTTGCCTTTTTTTTTTACTCAAAACTCCTGTCCTGTCTTTTTTTTTCAAATTTCATATGGTAGCTCCCTAACATCTCTCTGCCTGGAATTCTCTACACAAATCAATAAGTATTTCTCAAACCGTAGAGTATGTCTCAAACCGTAAAGTCCTTCAACAGAGTTATCTCCACTCTAAACATTTGAAGAAGTCAGACCAACCTAATTCATCATGGATAATAAACCCAAAAGCGTACACCCCAAACGTTCGTTCTGATTGGTTAATAAATCCTGCACAATGGCAATTCGACAATATATAACATTGAGAAAGGAAACGGGGAATGTGTCAAAGTGACAACAACCCGACCAAAGAGCAAAAAACAGCCCAAGGCCACCAATGGGTCTTCAACATATATACATGTATAAAGTACCGTTATTTTCATTTTGGAGTACGAACAAGAAATTACTGATAATACTTTTGATTCTGAAACGAGGAAATGTCCGAGGTACTTATCGATCATTTTTGTAGTTTGAACGAGTCTGATATTAGTTGAGTTTTACTTGCTGAATACTGGTAGATATTTCATTGTACTAGTATATTCAGAAGAAAAACAAATAAAGAATATGAACCAAATCATAGTGAGTTGGTCGATAAGAAATGAAGAATGAGAAATTTGGAATGCCAACGAAAAAAAAAGTGTATGATTATAAGAATTATAAATCTTGAGTCACTTGTAACATTTCGATTGTGTTTTTATTTTACCTGTCGAAGGCTTTGCATTTTCTCGACATGCTGTATAGAACTTCATAATTCCGACAGCACCTATATATATATATATGTGAATTTTCCGTGTTTGTCATTGTTGAACTATTAATATAAGGAATTGCCATGTATTGCTCTTCAACTCCGTACTTTATTGTGGTCTTTTAACTTTTTTATTCGAGCGTCACTGATGAGTCTTTTTGTAGAAGTTTGACGTACAAGTTTTAAGCCTGGTACATGTATCTATAAGGGAGCTACCATTTGATTTTTTTATGGGGGGGCTAGGATGAAAAATTTTGTCCTGCCTTTTTATTTTTCACTCTATTCGGTCCTGCCTTTTTATTTTTCACTCAATTCGGTCCACCTTTTATTTTTAGTTTATCCTGCCTTTTTTATTTAACTAAATTGTCATCCTGCCTTTTTTTTTGCAAATAATCTTATCCTGCCTTTTTTTTTACTCAAAACCCTGTCCTGCCTATTTTTTTCAAATTTCATCCTAGCCCCCCCCCCCCCCCCCCCCCCCCCCCCCATAAAAATCAAATGGTAGCTCCCTAATGAGTGTATGTGTATCCCTTTTTCTAATGATTGACAACATTTAAAAAAAGGACGTTTTGTTTTCAAAGAAACAAGCAACGCATAGAAAAAAACCTACACAAACAGGTGTCCATATTGACTTAATGTTCTCCTAAAAGGATCTATTTTGAATTTGGTCTATGTTTCATTATAGTACTTTAAAAAGTGCCACCATCTTGTTTTTAAAAAATCCTTTTAAATTCGTTTTAAAGTAGCTTTGTTTATCTAAGAAACAAACATACAATTAGGATTGACTTTTAGAGTTCGGTACAAAGCTATTTATAACAGACCCTACATCACTGTCAATGGCAATGTTTGCTATCTTTATTAGATTACTATTTATGATATATAACCGAAAACCAGGTGTGATCAAAATATGTTTTACAGTTGATACGACTACCGTAAGTTAGTCTTTCTGTACATGTTTATGACTATATGATCATTTGGTTTAGAAATTGTAACATATTTAAATCAAGAAACGGAACTACGAGATTTTTCTTCTTCTAGCAGCGAGCCTCCTCATGGAGTTTTTGATTATGTGATTACTTGGCCGTTTTTATAGTGATTATTTGATTACCAGACCAAATATATCATGATTATTTGATTATTTGATTATCTAGGACTGTATTTTTGGTTGATTATCTTGTTTTAAAAAAAATTAATGATTACGAGATTATATAGGCAAAACATTTGTGATTATGTGATTACTTGGATACCCCCATGAGGGAGCCTCAGCAGCATAAACACTTCTTGTTAGCAAAGTAAATAGACTGTATGTTGCCTTCTATCTTTTGGTGGTTTTTGTCTGCATCCTTGATTGACGTATACCCCACATCTCCTTTTTGTTATTTTTCTGACATATGACCATATATGGAGATATGGGTGTACACTTCCGGTAAATTAAAAAACCTGAATAAACCGACCTACTGACAAAACCGGCTCATTTTCTTAGTGCCATAGCCGGCCGGTTTATACAGGTTTTACTGTATAATAATAAGCAATGCAACATCACGAAAACTCCAAAAACATATAAAAGATAACAAATTGACTAGTCCTCAACACAAAAAAGTAACATATAAAAGTTAACAAATTTACTAGTCCTCAACACAAAAAAGTGTCTATACATTAATTTGTCAAGCTCTGAATTGCCCGAGTCAAGTAGAAACATTTGAATAAATTAAACATGGGATATTAAAGATGTACCATCATGAGATAAAACATTATCGAAACAGACTCACAATAGACTTTTCTCCATTTATATGTTTGCTTTGATCGTGTGTAATTGAATAAGCTTTGTCAAGTTATAATAGGAAAAAAATATGTCAATGACAGCATAGTGACATATCACAAGTGACCTTTCTGCACTTAATTGTCGAAATCTGTTCTATGGTTGAACCGTTCAAAACTGTTCTATGGTCTGTTCCAGAAATGTCTAAACCTGGTCTAGGATATAACTGTAAATGGGGTTTGTCAAGTTGTACTGTCGAATAATGTTTGATAATTCCTGTTGTCTTTAAGCATTTTATGCAAGTCAGACATTATTCTCGCTTTCTTATCATTGGAATAGAGCAATATTCTCCTTTTATGCATTATTCTCACTGTCTTATCATTCGAAAAGTGAAATATTCTCAAGGGATGAATTACTAATAAAAAACTATAAGCGTACTTGTGATCAAATTTATACCTTACACAAGAGATGGAATAACAGCTTTCTCAATCATAATTGTTTAAAAAGAGATAAATCATTTTAATGTTGAATTAATTCTATTTTGTTTACATTTGTAATTAGTTTTATTATAAAAAGCTTCAAATACATAAGTTTTTTATGGATAATCGTCATATTTCTTTCTTCAAATGAACAAAATTAAGTAAAATTGAGAAATGAATTATTATATTGTTGAAAGGTTGATAGAAAACTGAATCTCGTAAAATAGGGTAGAAATCGCATTCGTAGATTCCTTGGTAGAGAACATGTGTGTGAAAGAAGTGAAGTTATTGAGTTCATATGTTTAGACATAACCGTCAGTAGATTCGAAACTATATTGTGATTGATTGATTGATTGGTTTGTGTTTAACGCCACTTTCAGCACTATTGTGCTATTTCGTAACGGTCAGTTTGTATTGTTAGAGGAAGCTGTAGTGCCTGGAGAGAACCACCGATCTTCGGTAGGAAAACTGTAAATCCTAGTCAATTAAGATCGGAGTCAAGCGGACCTGAAATGTGTGTGATTTGAACTCACAACCTCAGTGTTGCCAGGCTAGTGATACAATAG